TTAGAAAATATTAGTTGCTTTTTTATTCGTTGACGGCAATTAGTTCCATTCCTCTGGTATTCCGTGCTCAGCCCGCTATCGTTTGATTGCAGGGGTTAATTCTTTATTGTCTTAAAGCTAGTGTATTTTGATCTCTAAAGTTGTTCTCATACTTTCGTTTGGGAATATTCTCATTATTCTTAAGGGAATCGTATATTTGCTGTCTGAAACTCCTAGATATATCTAACGGGCTTGCTAATTTCTTTAAAAATGGAGGCTTAAGTGGTCTGGTTGCTCCGCTTCTTAAGTTTTAGGTCCTCTAGCATTCGCTCGGTTACTCCTCGATCTCTGTATTGGTCTGGCGATTGTGTGATTAAATGGATTTATGGTCCCGATAGAGGTGACTCCATCTGGTTTCCGCCTGATGCTGTACGGTTTGCCAATATTCAGTCACCCCTAACCCAGGATGCCCCCTCAAGGCTTACTTTCTTTGGGATAATAATTTCGTTCGGAACGCCCATATGTAACTCGCCCGCGCAAGCCACATCGTTCACGTGCCGGTAGAATCAATTAAGGCTTCTCTGGTCAGTCTTGCGCTACTTAGTTCTTTATGTTCGCTGGTAGTGGGTTTTATCTTAGTCGTCACTTACACAACTGTTGCCCTTCGGCACTCGATTCTGGTTAAACCTTGTTCCACAACGGCTCCCGTGGAGTTAATGAGATAATTAAGTGAGAATAGTCTCAATATAAACTCTGATATCCTTATCTGGATGACTCCTCCATTAGCTCAGTAAATTTGGTCGTTTAACCATTCAGGGCAAGTTCGCTTTGCCTGGGGCGTTTCGTATCAGCGTAAACCTCAAATTCGTCTAGCCTGGATTTTGTTCCCCTTACTGCGGTCGGTGACTGCGGATGATGTCCCTGGGCTGCTATTTCGTTTATGCTGTGTATGCCCGCGTTTATGATTGCTAGCAGTCTGGCTAGCAAAGTACTGACTACCTTCTCTCATCTAATCGTTGACAGTGACTGTGCGCAATTTGAATCGGGAAATATGTGCGAGGAAGTGTTATTTAATATTGCAACTCTTGGTGCCGGCACGTATTTCTTCTTCGTCTCGGTAACAAGTTTGCCAGATCTGGTTTCTTCGCTCTCCAGGCGGCCGTTGTGATCTGTCGTATGATCTGGTCAGTAGTATGCCAAAAAGTTGTCCTGAGCTTAAGTAAAGCATTAACATGCTACGCGAAATAAATAGAAGTGCAACCGGCCTCAGGTAGATTTCCCTAAGGTACAGGATATGGCTGACACCTGAGGCTACATGAATAATTGTTATACTTATATATAATGAAAATAATCAGAACTTAGTAAAGAGAATAAAATTATGGATATTTCACAGCCTAGACTCGGGTAATGCATTTAGACTCGTGTCTCACACTAATGCTAGGTTACTAAGATTGTCCGGCTGCCTCACCCCATACTAAAAACGAAAATGTATACACATTCATGGGTATGGGATGGTCTTTGATCTTGGTCGCGGTAGTTCAACTTCAGTGCATGTGTTGACCCCTATAAATACAAGCAAAATTAGCACGAGAATGAAGGCTATTTGGCCGAACCATTCCATGTCTTATGCTTATACAATTTTTTCTTTTAGCGATAATTTATGTATGATAGAGCCTGATAGTCTTCACCTAATGCTAACGTGGGACAAGAATGAATTGCGGCTTTGCTGGTGTCTGTCATATGATGGACGAAAACTTTGCCAGATTTCACCCGAAACGAGCGAGAACGTCTAGTCAACTGAGTCAACCCGAACGTCGTTTTAAAGCCAAACGGCTTCAGTACAACGGGAATCAGCAGTCTTCCGATTAGATCGATTTTCCGATCTCTTCATGCACTTTCACACGGAACGAAGGTCCCCTCAACGATTAATATATTCACTTCATTGGCTGCAGACGAGAGAAACAAAAAGATCCGAGAGCATTGTGGCTTATGTCTACCAGATTTGGCGAAACTAAGTGTTTATTGTACAGCTCACTGTCAGTATCCATCGAGTGTTGCCAGAATTCTACATTTTGCGCCCAATATCTACAACATGCATTTTTGTGTTAAGCAATCTTTCGATGATAGCGACCAGTCTCTCCAAGATAATAGTAACTAAATGAGCGTATTAATTTATAGCGCCATATATTTTCTCTAAACCATTTCCTTGTAAATCTTCCCCACTTATTGGGCAGAAAATAAAATCCTGACCAAAGTCTATCGTTCTTAATTTCTCCTCAAATATTCTTAATCTATATATTTGTTATTCATCTGGAGTTATT